TACCAAAATATTGCCAATCTTTTCTAAATTGTTACAAAGTATGTTGCACTGATTTGGTTGAGTTGTATTCTTTCGTTTCATTAAATAGTAAAATTTACAATCATTTACTTGTGACACATGACCCCTAAGGGAATAAAATAGCATATAACCAAAACATAAAGTTTGTGTTTAATCTTAATTTTTACATCATAAATAAAAAATAGCAAGATTTTAATATTAGTTAAATATTTGATGTTGTTTAAATAGTTGAACTGTACTGACTGTAGCACTCAATCAATGACTGAAAATGGCATATTTTAAAGCATTCTGGCAACATTTAGGCATTTATTTCAATAGCATTTAGAAATCTTGACTTTCAACATCAATTTGGGCTTTTGGCAAAGCCCAGAACGTTTCGACTAATAACTATATGTTCCCAGGCATTTTTCAAAATGGAAAAGGCCATTATGAACACCTTAAAAAATTGTTGAATTTTCAACCCTCAATAGACAGTTATGGAAAGTACATCAAGCTAAGGATGCTGTGTCCTGATCCTTGATTTCGCCTCCATTGGTATTGGGGGCATTTGTCCTATTTGACTCTTGAAAAAAAAACGAAACTTTCAAAATCAACATCAAATATTGTCTACAAGAAACGTCAACCATAAACATCATCCAACCCTAACTGATTTAATCAGCCAAAGTTCATACAGCAACTGGAATATCCTAAATGAAGAGAAAACCACAACATTACCTCCGAACCTAAGAACAGCTAGTTTTGGATTGATTAAGAAACTCTATAGAAAAACAAGTGTAGATTGTGTGGACCATGTTGTAGAAGTTGTGAAAAGATCAAGTCCAGCAGGATTGAATAAAGCTCAATGTTATGAAAATAAAAAAGGTTTTCAATACTTAGATATCAAATCTATTTTAGGAATTTATTTTAAGAAGCTAAATGGCTTGCAAAGGTATCAACATTTTCTTTTTGAAGCATCTAATCTTGGTACAGTGAAAGTTCAAGAAGTTGCTAATGGACCTTTTGTTGAATTCAATTTATTGAAAACCAAGAAAGCGGATATCTTTGAAGAAATTAGAGCTTTATCTATTTTAGTGTTGACACCACCTCCTTTGGATTACAAAAGACAAGAATATCTTTACCAGAATATTTGTCTATTGGTTAGAGATGAATTCAAAGACATTACTTGCAACCAAGATGAATGCATCAAAATATATTTATATATGTGATTAATTATAATTATAATAAATATGTAACTGTTTCTCATGACTGAAAACCCTCATTGACTAAATAACTGGTTAAAATTAAAAGCTAAACAAGAAGAAAAAGACTTCAACAATTTAGCCAGTGTTAAAGAAAACATTAGAACCCTTTGTTTTATTCAGCAAGGATATAAAGGAAAAGTAATAATTGAAGATTATCCTGATTTAACTCAGTTAAACTTAGGTAATAATGAACTAGAGGAGATTATTATTCGCAACTGTCCTGATTTGAAATTAGTTCAGGTAGCTCATAACAAACTTACTAAGTTAAAGATAGAGAATTGTCTGAGTGTTCAAGAAATTTACACTCATAATAATCAATTAACTAAAATAATTGAAAATTTCTGTTTCACAATATGGGGCATACTGCAACAAACCAGACAAAGTGAACATTTTATTATGTGATATGAATTAGAGGCTGATTGTGATGTGGCTGTAAAATTGACCAGTGTGACTGATGAAATTTTGAAAAGTAATAATGGTGCTTGTTCATAACTTATGGACTTGTTAATTTTAATGCTCACTTTATCATACCAGAATGTGATGAATATAAACCATAACATGATTAATATAAGATTACCTCTATATATAAAAATATTAATATGAAACTAATTTACATCAGATCTACTATGGAACCCAAGAGTACAACTATTATCTGAACAAGCAGATAAGTGGCGAAAATATTGCATGTGTACCTCTTGCAAAGAGAAGCTAGGTTATAATACAGCTTTGCTAAACAAGATTCCTAATAAGAGCGAGAGAATTAGTGCGCATTTAAAGAAATGTTCTAATTTTAAAATTATGCATCCTGAAAAATACAATGAATTTTTTGGATCAGATGAAACCATCAATTTAAATAGTAGAGACCTTGAACAAAGTAATGTATTTTTTATTTTATTTGTATTTGTTATTTGTTATAAATTATTACATGCATTTAGTTTACATTAAAAAATTTTCTAGTCTCTTCATCAAATTCATCTATTTCAACCAAAGGCTCACTTGACTCTTTTGTTGTTCGTCCTATGTCAAAAAACAATGTATCAAGATTTGAAAAACTATTAATTAGAGCCACCGTTTCTGCTGGCTGGTCTTTGCAGAGTGTAGAAAATAAGGAAGTGAATGAGTTGTTTTCTTTTATTAACCCTACAATAAAACTACCAGGTCGACGAGCCCTTGGTGAGCGTATCCTAAACAATGAAGTCAAAAGTCTTCAATTACAATTAGAAAATAAAATTAAAAATGATCCTGTTGGTGTTACATTGTGTTTTGATGGTTGGACCAATGTAATAAACCAAAATATATTTGGTTCTGTATTTATAACTAATGGCAAGTAACTGATATTTTTGTTGAAAATTTAGAAATACCATTTTTTATTGAAGATTAATGTATTAAAAAAAATTTTTAAATAAAATATAATTACAAAAGAAAAATGTCACATGTTTATAGATTTTTGGCCAAAACGGCCACGGCCAAAAACGGCCAAATGCCAACACTGCAATAGGCTGTGTTGATTCGGATGAATTTTTAGTTGATACATTAACATTTTTAACTTGACCATGACTACAAAATGCAAATTTAAAAAATTTATAATTTTACAAATCATAGATGCAAAAAGTAAATGTAAGACAAAAGATGCCGCATTAACACTTACATGACTTTATCAGATATTGATTGTCCTAAGAATACTGCTGTGGCTGACTGCTGTTTATAAATTTTTACTGCCCTATCGTTTTCATTTTCTTTATTTCCACTAATAAAAAAAAAGTTTATAATTAATTAGCGTGGCAACGATTGCAATAACCGAGTTTCAGATCAATAACTAGAGTAACGACGAGTGGCGGGCGATAACCACCACCATCCTTAAAAACACTTACCCAGCGATATCAGCTTTATCATTGGTTTGTTTTCTTTTTCTGTCCGCTCTACCAGACATTTTTAATTTTTTGCATAAAATAGAAATTAAAGAAGTTTGTTATTTGATCGACGAGTACACACTAATTATTTATCCTATTACTATTGGTTTTTTTTTTGGCAGGACAGACGCGAATTGATTTTTTTTTTTTTTGGAAAGAGGTACAATTTTTTAATTTGCATTGATTGATATTTTTATTTTAGCTTATAAATATTTAATTGGAAATCAAAACACGGAGCAGATCTTGCTGGGTAATTACAAATAATATTTTGCTTTGCGTAATCAATATTAATAATAATATTAATATTAATATATAATTACAAGATGCCAAGGCAGCACACCGTTGAATATGAAACATTTCGAATATGCAATGTTTGATTATCGGAAATTTACAGGCGTTGAAGCACGCACGCTGCCTTGAACACATTACAGTCATTCTCTCATCTTCCTCGTGTACATAAGGCTAATCTGACCAAGATGCCCCCGATGATACAATGATGCAACAGAATTCCAGGGGGGGGTAACGTGGCCCTGGAGTTTACCGAGACTGCACCAATCGTCAATGACACTTTCACTAATCTTTCCTCACAGCACCAGACCAGAGATGGCTGCTGGCATGCTAGTCGAAAAGTTGCCTGCAACGATCCCACCTCTAGGGTAAGGATGGCACTGTGTCCAAGCTGTTGCAGCTCTGCTGATGAATTGTAGTGCCATGTAAATATCCAGATCCATCAAAGCAACGAGAACCTGCAATTCATTTCAAGCACAGGAGGTCACAATTCAGAGCAGGGTTGGTGGCCCTGAAATTGCATTTGGACTCTGATGTTAAGGGGAAAGTTGTAAAATAGTGTTTGTTTTTTATAATCACTTTCCTAAATGCTCTGTTTTTTTTTGGTACTAACCAATTTATTATAATTTTGCCCAACCATTCCTCTGTCCTGTAGGTTAAAATTATCACACAATCATATATATCTTTGTCAGCAATATGGCCAACAAGAAAAAGGTCATAAAATGGTTCAGATTTTGGTATGTTTTGTACAAGTTAACCATTTTCCCAAATTCTCTGCTTCTCTTTAATTTTTATCTGACCAACTGAACTTGTTATTTTAGTAAATGGGGTAGAGTTGTTGGGAATGAGACATAGGTGCACTTTTGGAGGTGTGCATTGATAGAGGGTGTACTTATGGAGGGTTGACTGTACAGGGGACGCCTTTGGGATATACCAGCCAAACTCATAGAAAGGGATATTTTGTCCAGACTTAGGGTCACATGGATGTTAAGCACAGAAAATGTACACTATCAATGTATGTTTTTTTCAACAAAATAAACATTTAAATAATTAATTGTTAAATATTAATACTTTTCTTTTCATAAAAATTACAGCAACCCAGGACTCAAAACTCTGAATTCAGGGAAAATCCAAAACAAAGACCCAGGTTGCAACCTCCAGAGTTGCAGAATTTTCAACCAGTTGCAGGTGCCAACTTTTATGCTAGTGTGGCAATAACACAAATCAATCATCACACAAGCACCAAGCTATCAGTAGGGTTTGTATTCATGGATACCCTAGCTATCAGTGATCAATGCCCATATATGTAACATCAAGCCTAGTCTTAGGGGTGAGATAAGGGAAAGTTTTGTCCAAAGCCTTCCAACTTGTTCAAGTCGCTTTCACCTGTGGAAAAAAAATTCCATGGTGCTGAATGGTGCTTAATTGCACGGCGCTTGCTTGTTTGTGATAGGAAAATTTCAATTAAATCTGACACCTGTGATCAACATCAGATTTATTATTCATAAGGAACCATGATTGATAATCATGAAGATTAATTTATTATTGTGAATCCCAGAAATCTGGGTAGACAGGCATTATTAAAAATTTCATTCATGCATGGCCTTGGTATTATTACTGCTTGGGTGATGCAATTGTTTGTTATCTCAATATTGAATAATAATCATGACCATCATGAATATTTGATGGATGGAGGCATTCACATACAGGGAAATGATTAAACAGCTAAGTCATGTTTGTTTTGTTTTATTAAAGATATATAATTAATTATATTTAAAAAATTATTATTTTATTTCACCTTTGTAATGGCATTAATTTCAATAATTCTGAAATTGTTTGTTTCTTAGTGTTAATGATTGAATCAATCACACAAGTGATAGTCAGTTTAGATGGCTTTTTTAAAAAAAGTTTAGTTGAATTAATGTTATTAAATGGGTTTTTTATTTATAATAATAATTTTAATATTTTTTTTGATACATCAACCTCAGTCCAAAATCTATCATATCTATATATTTTAAAATTTCTTTTTTGATTAAAAAAAAAAAAAATTCAAACATTTGTTTATTTTTTTTTTAGTACATTTCTATTAGATCAAATGATACATTCAGCAAAAATCTCAGAAGATTACATTGTGCATTAATTCTAAGATTAAAAAATCAGTTTTAATGTTTTAGTATAATCTAGGGGTATGGGGGACAACTCAATGTTACACATATACATTTGTCAATTTCAAAACTGTCACCCCATATGAAATTCATAGTATTTATTAGTAAAAATAAATAAAACGCGAAACACATCCATATTTGTACACAAAATTCACAAATTAATCATGGTTAAAATTTTCATACTTGTGAGAGAAAATCTTCAGCTTTCTTTTGATATAGGTTTTTTCAAAATATTTTTTCTAAAGCTTTTAAAAAATACCATCAGTCCAAAAATTTCAAAAATGGCAAGAATTTTTCAACATTACGCGTTTTAAATTTTACAATTAACTTCAAATTAACTTTAAATTTTTTGTTTTATGACATTAATAGAAACACATCCTTGAAGAAAACGTTGAAAGTAGCCCCCTTCCAGAAAACAAAAAAATAAAACAACTAGAAGCTTTGCAAGAACTTATTCAAATACATCCTGATCTTAAAGGAAAGTCAGTTTACTTTTTTTATAAATCTAATAAATTTGTAGAGGGAATTTTGATTTATGATAGAAGTGAAAATATGTCATATGTATATGATCCAAAAAGTGGAAATAAGTTCAATTCTTTTTTTCAATGGTTAAATGTTCTTAAAAAGCAAGGTTTGTTCAATGGGGAAAGGTCTGCAATTACTACAATTTTTTTAGAGCCTGTTACTTCCAGCCCTAACCTTGCATCCATATTAAGACCATCTATTCAATTACCCTATTGGAAGAATAACTCAACTGCAACTATTTTAGACGTTACATCATCAATTAAAAATAAAATAAAATTAAATGGTAAATTATTTGGAACTGGATTAAGTGAAATTGAAAAAGGCTTAAGATTAATTTTTTTTGGAAGTGAAGGAAATGTAGAAAAAGATATGACAATTGTTTGGAATGGAAATTTAATCTCATATGAGGTGAATGTATTGGGAAAAGTGGTGAAGGATATTGACTTAATAAGACCAGGAGTTGCAGCAGAAAGAACATTTACAGATGTAGAAGAGGCAATTGAATATGTATTTGATGCAAAAATTTGTAATGGAAAATCTACAAAAGGTATTTAAACCCTATCTTGATATTTTAACAGTCAATTTTATTAAAAAATTTTTGTTTTTTTATTTAGGATTTGAAGAAGTAACATGTAATTGAGGCCTACAAACTTGTAAACAATAAACTTGGTCCTGATGGTACTCATGAGCCTTTTGCATTTTTGGAAAATAAAGGAAAACCCAATGAAATTTATCATCAAGTAGATTGTCATCTTCTTGTAGATTTAAAAGGTACATGTGAAAACTGCAAAAAATTAAAGAATACCTTGATAAAAATATGTAGAAGATATCTCAATGGTACAAAATCTGTGAAAACCAATCATGCATCACAAGAAATCCTTAGTGAAGCTGTTCAAGAGCAACGAAAGGTAGTTTTTCTGTGAAATTGGAATTGTAAATTATTACCATTTTAGAATTAACAATTGTTTTATTAATTTTTAATCAAAGGTTATTAAAAAATCCAACAAAATTATAGAATCTTTAAAAGACCAACTAAAAAAGAAAGTAGAGAATGAAGAGGAAGAAGTATCAGAAGAAATGGCAAGTATTGTTGAAAAAATTTCTACAAATATTTCAAACAATGCAACAGATATTTTATCACTCAATCCTATTTTTCAAGAGCTCATATGTATACAATGTGGAAAACCAAAAGGGACAAGATATCATCCTATGTATGTTACTTATGTTACTATAATGATTTAATAAAAAGGAAAGAATTATTTATTTTTCAACTTTTAGGTTTTTGCGATGGGCTATTTCTGTTTACAGTCGTGGAGGTAATACTGCTTATGATTCTTTAAAGGGGATAATGCGTTTACCATCAGTATCAACCCTCAAGAGCTATATAAATGAATATGAGCAAAAGTCTGGTTGGCAAGATGAGACAGCACATTGAATTCTATGTAGTTTGGCATTAGAAAATGTATGGGGTCATGGTCGAATTGGATTTTTTTCTCATGATTCTTTCAAAATTCAAAAAGGTTAGTTTATGTTGGGAAATAATTGAATAATTAAAGTATAAAGTGACTAATTTATAATTAAATTGATAGGACTTCTTTGGAGCCAACGTAGTAATAGTTATGTTGGTTACTTAGATTTTGAAGATGAAGCTCAAGATTTAAAATCATTTGCTATAAATTGTGAAAAAGAATTAAATGCAATGGGAAGCAATACTATTTCACCTGACCATATATCAGAAAAATATGAACATGGTCTGGCAACACAAGTTCACCAAATTGTCTGGCATTCAATAACACATAATTTTTCTTTTCCATTATCATATTATGGAGTTAATACATTGTCAACTCATGATCTGAATACTTTATTATTTGGTCTTGCTGCAAAATTGGAATGCATTGGAATCCATACTTGTGGCTCAGTTTGTAATGGAGCTAGTGAGAATCGAAATCACATAAAAAGTTTTGATTGGTTTGCTTCGACCTGGTCTGTTGGTGATATTGTGGAAGTTGTTATAGAAAAAGGTAACTCTTATTCTGCTAAAATCCTAAATGCTAACATTGATCATACAAAATTTATTGTCCAAAAGCTTGATCAGGAATTTACTGAAGGAATCACTATTGATTGGAAATTTTTAAGACCTGTTATTGGAAGCCAACTCTCAATTAATGAAAATAGTAAGTGAACATGATATCTGGTCATGGCATAAAACATTGAATCCAATTACAGGAGATCCATGGTTTTTCATTAGTGACCCAATTCATGTTTTCAAGAAGCTTCGTAATAATTTATCAAAGAGTCATACAGGACAAGGTAGTGAAAAAAATGTGTGTGAAATTATGTTTGATGGTAAAGAAGTCAGTTGGAAACATATTAAAGGAGTTTATGATTATACTAGCTGTCATGCAACAGCTAAGGCAACAAGGCTAACCAAACATCATATCTGGTTAACATCTTGGAGTAAGATGTGTGTTGATTTAGCTGAACAGACTCTTTCAAAGGATGTTGAAAATGCATTAGAAGCTATTGAAGAATTGAAAGATATTTCTGAAGGAACAAGGGTAAGAACCATTTTTTTCTATCTTTGCCAAAATCATTCTATAAATTCTATCCTATTATTATTAACATGTATCTTTACAGAAATTTATTAGAAATTCAAGATATTATAGACATATTTTTCATAGAAAAATTAGTTTCATAAATATGGAAGATCCATGAATTAAAACATTAAAAAATATTCATGATTGGTTTTTGCTAGGTGATAACCAAAAAAAAGGAGCCATGAAATGGATTTCATCTCAATGTCAATTTGATTTGATTTTGTCCATAAATGGCTTTCTTGGGATGTTAGAATACATTCTATCAAGATATAAAATTGCAGCTATTCAACCATGAAGAATTTCACAGGATATGTTAGAAGGATTGTTTGGGACCATTCATGAACTCAGTGGAGACTCCTCAACACAAACATTGCAAGGGTATGGTCATGCTTTAAATAAATATCAAATAACTGCATTAGAATCATCGGAAGTTAAAAGTTTTAATTATGGAAATGCAAATAATGTTGGTAGTGGGATGCATTTCCTATCAAGAAGGTACAGCATGCTTTTATTTGGTTTTTTCAATGAATTTTCATAATTAATAATGATATTTAAATTGATTTATAACTTAGAGATTATCAAAAACAAATGTCAAATGAAAGCAATCCAGCACTTGTCTCTTTAAACCTCCATTCATCACGCCTAGTAACTTTATCTCTCCTATCTCAAAAAATTTTTGAAACTCTGCTCCAAGATGATCTACTTATGGGAAGAATTGCACCTCTATCAAACTCATTAAATGAATATATCAACAATGAAAACTTAAGTATTCTTAATTCTAATGTAAAATGGTATGAACTTATTGAATTTCTAATTTATCATAATTCTGTTGATGTTTTATTACAAAATTGGCAGAATGAAGTTAGACTGATTGCACAAAGTGCAATTCCAAAAAAAAGAGGAGTCAAATGGATGTTAAGATGGAGCTCCAACTTAGAAAATCATCTCAACAATTACTTGTGTTCTGGAACTTGGTTTGTGTATTTTCAACAAGAATTTCAATTATCACAATTTTCACTTTCTGTTCAACGAATTGTTGCCTTTTCAATGTTGCAAAAAGTAATTCTAGAGACATTTAAAGGTAATGGCACAAAAAATGTTGAATTTGAAAAAGGAGCAGACCCCAATTTGTTGCCTCAAGTAATTGTAAATTTAGATCCTGCAGAAGCTTCAAAATTTGCATATATTGTTGGATGGGTTCTATTTAAGCTTACAAAAGATGACAAAGTAATGATGTCTCATCCAAAATTTGGAATTATGTGTTCTTTACTTAAGAATCTTTGCTCAGAAAATGTAGAATATGTACATGAAATTCATTCACAAACAACAAATATCATACCTGGACCAGAAATCATGGACTTCATGTATCATTTTGAATCCATAATAATTCAATTATTTGAAAAACATCATGAGCTTGGTCCAAATATTTTACATTACATAAGAATCAGCCTGTTAAATAACTTACATTTGCATGAAAAATTTTCATCATTATTGAAATTTGCAATTCAAGATAATATTAGTTCTGAAAATTTTGAATGTAAGTTGATTTTGTCAAATGAAGATCTGATTTTTTTATTTGAAAAATTAGTTTCTACCTACATGAAAAGCTGGCAAAAAACATGGAGACAACATAATGGTTACATACCAGAGAAAGGTACAGCAAGCCTTAGGGAAAATCTTAAGGTTATGCGTTCAAATAACCAGAATCTTTCAAATAATGAGAAAGGTAAAATATCTAATCAAATAAAGAAAGCAAATTTACCAACAGATCCAATGCTTGCAATTGTTCAGCTTCGAGTATGGGTACATCTTGAAGATGTGGAAAATCAATTTGCAAAAAATTTTTTAGTTACAGATCTGCTCTGGTTATTATGGGCATTTGGAGTTAAAACATCACAAAAAAGAAAGAATACATTGGTTCCTTTACTTATAAGTCATTTGAAAAGTGAAACACCTTTTAGTGAAGAAGCATTAGCAAAAAAGAATATATTTGCACTTGAGTAGAAATCAGGAAAGTATTTTTTAAAGTTAACCACAAAATATTATTCAAATCAGTAATTATTCTTAAAATTGTAATTGAAGAACAAAAAAAATTTTATTTAAAGATTTTGTTTTTTTCCTATCACTCATTGCTTTCCTTCACAGTAATAATAAGTAATGTCTTAAATAAAAGCTTCATTTCTTAACAAGAATAAACTTTTCATTTAAAAAGTTAAAAAAAAAATTCTATTGAAAGTGTGTATATATAAATATATATTAAATTAGTAATTAATGTTAAATTTTTTTTATAAAATTCCTAATTTCTTTAAATTAAATGCTTACTAGTGTATAAACAACTTCCTTCTTGAAGAAAATAAAATCTTTTCATCTGAAACTGCCAAAAAAAAACTTCATTATAAAAACGTATATAAATATTATATATATTATATGTTGCGAGCGTGCAATCCGAGTTTCCTAGTCTATTATGTTATTTACTTATTCAACACACAGCTAGGTCTCTTACCTACTGTTTTACAGTTGACTTCCTTTATCTCTTTGGATAA